ATAGGATTGTCCAGTAAAAAGGGTGACTTTCATATTTGATGTTTTCTGAATAATACTACAATTTTCGGATGAGGAACCCACACTAAACAAACGCACGTTCACACACGCACCACGATTCTAAAGTCCGTAGTATCGAAATGTTAAAAATGTCCATCTTTTTCCACATCAATTCGTTTACGAAAGTTCCTCACTATGTACATACTATACATTATGCGTGATGAGTGATTCAAAGAAAAAAGTCAGTTATTGAAAGATGTATTATTGCGATCGCACAACACGTATTACCGACAATATTAAATTTACTTTATTTCTTTTGATGAGTCGAAAAATTTATCTTTACGACACGAATTACTTGTAACGAATACGCACAGATGCGTATTTTAACGGAACGTTTTACTATAAAGTTTCAGAATAAACAAACATCAATAAAAGAAAAGCGAAACAGTGACCCCCTCTCAACGGGAAAAAGATTCCACAATAACCTAAGAAGTTAGCTATCGAGAAATGTAACATGATCAGCCTGAGGGGGTGTATAGTGGGAAGACAATACCAATACAAATTTTTGTTTCTAAAATTCTGTACAAAACATCAGTTGGTTGTCGATAATCGAACGAAAGTGCTTAGAAGAGAATGGTGCACATTTCAAACATTATATTAAATTTAATATTGTCGGCAATACGTGTTGTGTGATCGTAATAATACATCTTGCAATAACTGATTCTTTTCTTTGAATCACTCATCGCGCATAATGTGTAATGTGTACATGGCGAGGAACTTTCGTAAACGAATTGATGTGTAAAAATGGTGGATATTTTTAACGTTTCGATACTAAGGACTGGACAATCGTGGTGCTTGTGTGATTGTGTGTTTGTTTAGTGTGGGTTCCGAAAATTGTACTATTATTATACGGAAAACATCAAATATGAAAGTCACCCTTTTTACTTGACAATCCCATAGAGCGTGTATTGATATGCTCTTGTGGATTTTCGCGAGTAAATAGGTTTCTTGTCGTACGACGATATATTTCAAAATTAATGAAGAATTTTCGCATCGTAAATTCACTCGTAAGGTAAGCGTCCGAGTATTCTTTAATTTTATGTCGTTAAACAAATAGTCATTTTTTTTAATTATCTAAAAAAACTGCGCTTCATCTTTACCTTTATTTCCGCTTAATCCATACAATTAGTTTCGCTAATAAATTTATACTTATTAATAGTTGTGAATTTTATAACTACTTACCGGCTGATATATTACCGATGATGGTAACTATGTTACCGAAATCGTGCGATTTGTTTGTTCACAACCAGGGTCAACCGTCACGCTTGCATCCGTCGCTCTCGCATCTGAGCGCGCGCTATTCTCGTGCTCTGATTGGTCAGTGTTTTTCATTAATAATTCAAACTCTAAGCTTTAACCAGCATTTTGGTAAAGGAAAAAGTTGTTCAGAATCACCCCAGCTACCATCCCCTAAAATTATGCCCACCAGTAGCTGAACACCCTGTATATGTTGAAGAGCAAATATTAAAGAACTTGTAAAATCCTGGAATAAGTACAAGAAACCTTCCTTCGCAGTATAATGTTAGTTGCTCCATGGTTTTTTGAATTTTACACGAGAACAATTTACATCCTTAGCATGTCATCAGAGCACAAGGACTCATGTTTTATAAGATTTCGCAGAAGGCATTTTGTCATTGATTGCTTCAACAACATACCAAAAATGTAGAATTACTGTTAAAAATGTTATGATCCGATGAAACGAAAATTACAAGGAACATGTTCTTCGTTCCTGACATGCATAGACAGCAAACTGAACATCCTTGTCCTGTTCTTCAAACACATCTTTAAGAAAGATGGACCATCTGAACTGGCATAATCACTAAATTAAATCTTGGGCCATATTTTTTCGAAGGAAATGTTACGACAGCAAAATATGTCGATTTATTACAAAATAAACTATCGGAATTATTCAAAGAATACCTCTAAAAATAAAAGGAAATTTAATTTTTCAGCAAATCAGTGTGTCACCATATTTCAATCGTCAAGTCAAAAATTTGTATACCAACGTTACCAAGGTTTGATTGGTCGTATTGGAAAAATAGCTTAGGCACTGCGCTCTCCTAACTTAACTCCGATGGTCTTTTATCTATGGAGTTCTAGTAAATTAAGCGATATAAAAATTTAATTAGAAGAGTAGAATCATGTATTCAACAGAATGAGCAACATTTCCAGCAAGTTCTGTAACAGTAAAATTTATGATTACTTCAACGTTCGATTTCATAACGTATATCTAATTTTTCATTACGATAAAAATAAACTTAAATTGCGATTATATCGGTCGTGACAACGATCTGCGGTCAAATTCATTATAACAAGACATGATCAAGCGCACACGTACTCGACGAAAATTTAGAGTCGATTTTCTCGAAAACAAAGCCTAGCAACAAATTTTTATTTTCACTTTTCGACATACATGTAGAATCATACCTCCTTTGCTTGTACCACCAGTTACCGAGTACCATGTATGATTCATGGGATATGATTTCTTTTGGCTACGATAACAGATGTTTATGACGATCTATCTAAAAATACATACAAGACCGTTGTATATTACATACTGACATTACACCATTTCTTTTGATGTTTTCAACTCTTAATAACGTTGTTCATAGCTTTCTCCTTTTGTATTACCTGATGATAAATTTTTATATCTAGGATCTAGATAAAGTTATGATAATAATTATTAATTCTGAAAGAGCTGATATTCTTAATCTCGTGGTATTCCTGCCTACATTTCACTAATAGTAACATTATTGATTAATTTCGATTATATTCTATGCAATAAATATGTTAAATTGTAGTACCTGGTTTATCATATTTTTAATCTTTATTGTCATTTTATTGATTGTAATATTATATTGTCATATGCACTTTCATTCTGCAATTGTTTGTACCCCTTAAAAAACATAATTTGCACAATTGTTGAATAATTATAGTCAGAGTGATTGTATTATTATACGTAATGAATAAAACCAGTCGTGACGCGTTATGTATTGTATTTTATACGTTAAGATGCCTATACTTTACTTCGTGGAATTTTCATAAAGGTTGTAAATTATTATTTACACGCGCTCTATTCAAAAGATTGGATACAAATTTTAATTTATAGCTGAAAGTAGTATATTTACTTCAGTTTGAGGATTTCTACAATTAATTATAATTCGGCATCAACATATGCTCTTAGTTAATTGACGTATGAATGTTGAAAAATGAAAGTAAAAGCAATTATACCGTTATGTATATGTACTTACATATACAGGTACCCATGCTGCAGATTTTGGATGTAGCATAGTTTTATTGACGCTGCTTTTATGCGCCATGTGATCAACATACCATTTTACGTAACATTAAGAAAACTCTTCAATTGAAAATTAAATTCGGGTCGCTATTACCTGCGACAGACTCAATAAAGTTATTATGAAATCTGTTATCAATGTTCTGATCCAGCCGATTGATATAAATAATAAAATGACCAATATTATTTAATTTATGAAATGTACCTATTAAAAAGATAAAATATAATACAAATAAAAATAAAGGACGTAAAATACGAAACAAGATAAAGAAATGAATTTACCTTACGTTATATCATTTTATACAGCTCCTAGATGGGGTATAATCTTTACAATCGTAAAATATTATGTGTTAAGAATATTTGAATATCTTTTATTGATCAAAATTGGATTACTGATTCGCTCCACATTACAAGATATTAAAGAACTTAACGTAATTAGTAATTAAGGTATCTACAACTAAATAGAATTATTGATGTCTTACTGTACCAAAAGTCCTTAAAGTCTGCAGACATTTGGTAATGCAAAATGAAAAATACTGATTATAAATTTTAATAGTTAAGTCTTATCAAGCTAGGGAATGCTTCGAAGAAACATTTTCTCCATCATATGAAAGTTTTATATGTTTCAGTATTTTGTGATTATTGTGATAATTCATACTATACATCACAAACAGAAATTAGCTTTTATTCGAAGTTATATAATTTTTCAACGCAAACAATGTGAGGACACTTTTATATAAAATAGTTTTGAATAAAAAAATACCAGTACTGAAAAGGATATTCGAGAACTATAATGATTTCAATCTTAATCCTTTCATTACGGGTGCCGCCTATAGGCGGCGGCCGCGCGACGACCTGTGTTATATGTAAATAACTGAATATTCATACAATATATTCATTTTCATTGTTTTTCCTATAATACGATGAAACAGTTGTTATGTAGCTTTTAAAAAAGTGTACATACAAGACAATCACAAAGTGGCGTTGAAAAACGTTAGTCCGAATATCGAAGACTACTGACGAGCAAAGTGCACACTTCGCGGCGCGGACTGCCGTAAGGAAAGGGTTAATAAAGTGCCATAGTTTTTAATTATGCATATTCAAATATTATCATATGAATTTGTAATCTAATTAATATGTAATAGCATGAAACCTTGTTGATTTATCATAAGTACCTCGATACAGACAAAATTACAAATTATTTGCATCACGTATTCCAGAATTTTCAAAACGTTTCCTTCATTATCTGCCTTAACAACACGTCAATGTACTGATTAATATCAGTAAGTATTTAAAATCTTATCATGTCCTCAGCTGATTTACGGTCATCGTTCACGATTTTTTCCGGTATAAATAAAACATCCGCAAGAAGATTTAGGTAGTAGCAGTCTAGAACTTCTACAGCAAGCACGGTAAGGTACTTTACATTTTCTGCTATTCTGTAAAACTTTTATACGTTACGTTTCTCTAAATTTGAACGCAGCTCACAAAAAATACTTTCCTTAGTCAAAAATTGATTTTGCAAATTTAAAATTTAGAAACTTCCAAAGTTATAAGTTTTACTATACATTAGTATTCAATATGTGTCAACAGAACACGTCCTAATGTAATATATAACGATATAGAACGTCCATATAAAGATGCCAATTTAACGAAAGTCATGGTAATTAATATATTAAGTAACTTTAAATGTTGCTAGTGATTAAATTAAATTACGATCGATTACTTTCAGATGAAGTTTCCACTAGTAGCACTCTCTGCGGCGATTGCCTTCGCAACCGTCAATTGTCATTACCTTCCCGCTTTCGGAGAAGGTCCTCTCTATGAAGACATCCAGTATTTTATAGATATGATCCCAATGGAAAAAGTAGTTGATATTATATTGCAATACACTATCAAAGACGCAGAATTTCAACAACTCCTGAAATACATGAAATCGGATGACTTCAAACAACTGGTGCAGGAGTTGGAAGCCATTCCCGAGTTCCACACGTTCATTGCCTATTTGCAGAACAATGGAGTCTACATAAACGATGCGATGAACAAGCTGAACAAGGTAATCGGTTTACCACCCTTCCAGCCTTTGCTAATCGAGAAGGCTCAAATCTCTGGTGGATTGACTGGTCTCTTCAATGATGTGAAAGCGTTGGTGTCCTACGATAGCATCATCCATGGCTACGTTTACAAAATGAGAACATCCGAAGCTTTCCGTGGCTTTGTTGCTGAATTGAAATCCGGGGGTAACCAGGACTTCGTTGACACCCTGTACAAGAATCAACGTTTCCTGTCCTTCCGTCATATGTTGGTCACAAAGGGATTGGATCTTACTTTAGTAGAGGACGTCATTTACATCGTCCTTGGTATCGAGTTTCCGGCGTTTAACGGCTTCGTGAACAACTTCGCCTTATACGAGAACACACTGTCTAAGGACATCCATGACTTCATCGACCTAATTGACATGAACAAGATTATCAACATCGTCTCGTCTTATTTGGATGATGATCAGGTAATAGAGGCTGTGAACTACATGCGCAGCGAAGAATTCCACGTGCTGGTACGCAAAGTGGAAGCACTGAAAGCTTACCAAGATTTGGTCGAATACCTGCATGATGCTGGTCTGGACATATACGGCTTGCTCGAGAAGGTGCATGTATTATTTGGTATGGAGGACTACGTGCCACCAAAAGGTAAATCGCAATACAATGTCTACGCTAACCGCGGTGGTGTGAAGGCTATGGTCGATGCAGTGATCGCTACACTCCCCATGGACAAATTCAGATCTCTATACAAAGAGAAGATGCAGAACTCGCCAGACTTTAAGAACTTCATCGAGAAACTGGACTCCGATGAAATCCAAGTGATCGTTAACACCATTTATAAAGAACCCATTGTCCTGGAAATAAGACAGAAGGCTCTGGAGAATGGCTTGGATCTGAGCGTGCCCAGAAGAATCTTCGAGGAAATCGGCATTAAGCTCCCTACACCATCTAGATTCTTTTATACCATGTAAATCACCTCTAAATATCGATTAAATCGAATTTTGTAACGACCCCCTCTTTAAACTAGTACGCGTCATGTTATTTTGAATAAACTGCTCTTTTCAATATATTTTTAGTCTCAATTTTTTTATTAAAAATCCTACAAATAAAATCCTATAGTTTCAAAATTTCACAGCTCCAGATTTCCAAAATTGTAAGCCAATATCCTGAAATCCCAAAATTCTGAGTCTTCACGGTTTCAAAGTTTCATAGTCATAAAGTTTCAACGTCACAAGTCTGGAAGGTCTAAAGTCTCTAAATTCCGAATATTCCAATTTTCCAAAGTTTCAAGGTCGTAAAGTTCCTTAAAGATCCTCAAGATTAAAAAATACTGAAATTCCAAAATATTTTTCTTTTTTTCGTATTCCTTTTATTCTGTCCGCCATCATTTTTAGATTCTTGGATTTCTCGCGCCTTGAATATTTATCCCTCGAGCTAAACAGCCTTATGCTTGAGCCTGAATCAACATACGACTGCATATTTCTTCCCCTTGATACTCTCCTGCTTTGCATTCAAAAAGACGGAAGTCTTGACCTAACTCTGACACCCTGTGTTAGCCATACGCCATCCAGATCACCACAGTCAACCACCTGAAGCATTCAGCGTTAGCCATATGTCAGCTACTTTCTATGTCTAAGTCATTGGCCAAGAGTGGCTATTAAAACCCTTTCCAGATGAGAATCTCCTAAAAAGCATATAAAATCTATTTACACTTCTCGTCAAAAACGGAGGTATAATTTTATAGCTCATTGTGATGTTAAATATACACGCCCAGTTTTGCAAAAGGTCTTGTCTTGTAAGTAAGATTTTCAGCTATATATCTAATATAATGTTTAATCTATAAAAATAATATTTTTTTTATTAACAAATTAATTTTTTAATACCAGAAGTTGTAAATAAATTTTCATTCTCTAAATTTCCCCATAAAGTTTAAATATTGAATAGGTAAATATATATGTATTCAAACATTCACGGTTAAAATGAAAAAGAATTTAAACTAAGTTCGATAAATAGTTTTCGAGATATATCTTAGAATTGGAGATATTAATTTTGTTCACGTTTTTACCGTATTTTACCATTGCGTGATGTACAAGTTCGTCAGGAACAATATACAAAGTGCAGCTGTTAAATAACGAGACTGACATTGCTACAGAAGAAGTATGCATGCGCCAGAGACCCGCAGTTTTTTACCGCGAAAGCTTCTCTTTCGAATGCAATATCTCCCATTTCTATAAACAAAACCGTATAGCCGTGATTTTCATTTTCGTTAGAGTTGTTTTTTTGTTCCGCCGAAAAAAGTGTAATTTATAACATAAGAGCAACGAGTTGTAAAATTTCACATAAAATTTGGGAAAACCGCTACTGAAACTTATAATTTACTGGAAATAAGTGCATGACAATGAATATTTAACTCATGCATATGCTTTCTAATTGTTTAAACGCTCTCAAGATGACCGAGAGGACGTTGAAGATAATTCACGTCCAGATCGCCGTTCCACATCAAAAAAGATTGACAATATCGAAAAAATCGGTAATGTGACCGTCGCGTCGGTTAAGTATTCGCGCGATTGCTGAAACTATAGCAATTGACAAAGAATCCGAATTGCGGGACAAGCTATGGGTTCTCCACCAAGATAATACGCCGGTACATTTGGTGTTATCTGTCAAGAGATTTTTAGCCAAGTATAGTATCCCAGTGTTAGACCATCCACCTTATTCTTATTTTTAAGAATTGTTGATGAATTCAGTGGCCATTAATACTTTAATGATTGCAGTTTTCATGAAACGAAATTTCAATTTTATCTTTCTTTTCATAATTATTAATGAAATTATAAAGTAAATATTGCTTTATGAAAACGTCGAATTTTTGAATTGTAATTAATATATGAAAAATGAGAGAGTAACAGTTAACTCTAAAAGTCATGAATAGTTAAAAGCAATACATCTGTTGTTTAATTCTGTCACTGTTTTTTAGCGATATCAGTAATGCGATGAGATGTCCGTTACTCTACACAGTTTTAATCATTATACATATATCTACTTTACAATAAGGTAACATTCCTTATCTCTTACCACAAAAATTAAATAAACAGATCAACTGTAATTGATATTGAAGATTGCTGTCAAATAGTATCAAAATATGTATCTAGTAGATTTCAATGCAAGATAAAACGAAAACTGATGATTGTAATAAGTACATGTAGAAGCAGGAAGAGCATCTTATATACACAAACACATTGAAAATGAAAAATAACAATTTTTCATATACGGACTTAATTTTGGGAGAATTAGATTTAAAAAATAAGTACATAAAGTAATTCTAAGGTAATTCAAACGCCGGAAATACGTTAGCAACACCTGTTGCGTAATAATTAAGTCCACCTGTAATGTCATATTTGAAGGCTATTGTGGATTCTATCGGCGATCTTCTGCAAATGTTCATTGTATTTATTTATCAAATAATAAATGTCGAATCCTGTTCAGGAGTGAACGTAGACTCTTGTCACAACCAAAGAAATTAATTTTGGATTCAAATGATTCGACGCGTAGTCCATTATGAATAGTCTCACATATCGAAATACGGGTTAACGACAAATTTTTTATTTGTCAAGTCTCATGCGGATCGGTCCCAAAATAAACATGTGCTTGCCATAAAACGTTTTTCCTCGCAGTCTTTAACAAGGAAAGAACAATTGTCGGGCGATCTTTACATATCGAGTCAATCGATTGTTGAAGGGTCGAGTCGGATTGGAAGTCGCAAAGTATGGTACAACGTAGAAGTGAATAGTTTATAATACATTTGGGTCATTCCATGCCAAATTGATTACTTTCGAACGTTACCAACAGATTTTGCTTTAATCGCAATACGTTGTAGTTCATATGAAATTAGAGAGGGTTTAAGTCATCATTTTGCCGGTTTTAAATTTGTTAAGAAATAATAAATCTTCAAATATTGTAATCTTTATCCATTTTGACGAAAACAGGCTTCATTTACGAATTTTGTTCTCAGAAACTACTCAATCGATTGAGCTAATTTTTGTTTTATTCATAAAGAATTGAGCTATTTTAAAATATTTTTTATTTTGCTTACAATTAATTAAAAGTGTGCACTTCAAAAGTGATCGATTCGGCATGGCATAGCCCATTTACGAGTCGTGCCACAGTGTCACCGTGATGTCTAAGTCACACATTATTATGAAGGAAACAGCGCTCCTTATATGCCATGCACTTTTATTGAGGAGACACTATGCTCTCGCACACCATGCACTAATATTGAAAAGACATTGTGATGCTCATACGTCATGCACAAAACGCTTCGAGTGGGACACTGCACTCTTCGAATAGATTGGCTCCATTCATTAGAGCCAGTAGAGATCACACTTCGATGTTCAAATCTCAAATCAATCAAACAAAATAATCAAACAATCGCACATAAACTACATTCACATTATACCGCTCATGCTTTCATCGTTTAATCGCAAATAAACATACATATCAAGGGGTTTTTTATACCAGAAAATGCTTCTTCGAAGTATTCCCCACCTTACTAAAATCCAATTATTAAAATTTATAATCAGTATTTTTTATTTTGTATTATCAAATATCTGTAGACTTTAAGGATTTTTAGTACAGTGTTGGAAATCCTAACGAACCGTCCGACTTTCTCTTCTACATCTGGCCCTTCCTTTATTTCCTTTACCCTATTGTCTACTTTCTGCGCTTTCCTGTCTGTCCTATATCACCAAAACATGCCTCTTTAGATTTTCCTGTAGCCTCAAGATTTTTCCAAGGTCCCGCTAAAGCACTTCCACATTTCCTAATAAATCACTCCTTTTTTTAAGCCACCTCCTTCGCAAATAACCTAGCCAATGACTTTTCCTGTGCCCACACCCTTATACAAAATATCAACCAATAATTTCCTTACAATAGTTTACATTTTCCTTCTCAACACCGTTTCTCTTTAGATTTTATCCGAACTTCACCGTGTAAAGTACAACTTTTAAAAACTAGAGAACTAGATTAAGGTTTAGCTTATAATATTATTGAACAATAAATTGGTTGTTGTATTCAATTTGAGTTATTCCTGATTCTGGAACTCCAACAACATGTTACACTTTTCTTTATATATATATATAGTTTATTGAGAATAATACAATGGTAATTATAATTAATCAGGTATAGATGTACGGATAACACGCGTCTCGATTTGTCGGTGGCTGCGTCACGACTGTTCGCGGAAGGCTCCCGCCGGGCCTCTCGGTTTCCGAATTTGCGCGACAGGCGCGCGCGAATTTTAATTGTAACAACTCGGCCCTTCCTGACATTTGAGGCGCCCTCGCCGATAGTACAATTATCGTTTATCAGTTAGATAACACGCGTCTCGATTTGTCGGTGGCTGCGTCGCGACTATTCGCGGAAGGCTCCCGCCGGGCCTCTCGGTTTCCGAATTTGCGCGACAGGCGCGCGCGAATTTTAATTGTAACAAACAGTAAGACCTCAATAATTTTATTTAGTTGTAGATACCTTAATTACTAATTACGTTAAGTTTTTTAATATCTTGTAATGTGGAGCGAATCAGTAATCCAATTTTGATCAATAATAGATATTCAAATATTCTTAACACATAATATTTTACGATTGTAAAGATTATACCCCATCTAGGAGCTGTATAAAATGATATAACGTAAGGTAAATTCATTTCTCTATTTTGTTCCGTATTTTACGTCCTTTATTTTTATTTGTATTATCTTTTATCTTTTTAATAGGTACATTTCATAAATTAAATAATATTGGTCATTTTATTATTTATATCAATCGGCTGGATCAGAACATTGATAACAGATTTCATAATAACTTTATTGAGTCTGTCGCAGGTAATAGCGACCCGAATTTAATTTTCAATTGAAGAGTTTTCTTAATGTTACGTAAAATGGTATGTTGATCACATGGCGCATAAAAGCAGCGTCAATAAAACTATGCTACATCCAAAATCTGCAGCATGGGTACCTGTATATGTAAGTACATATA